TCAGACAAGCCAGGTGGTGGGCGGGGGAGCTGGCGCTGAGGCGACGGCTCGTTTGCTTGTGCTTCGCCCCCCTCTTTACGCGCGCTTACGCGTTTGAGATGGCTTATTTGATATGAAAATGCTGTTTGCCAAATAAAGTTCATAGTTTCATAATATTGTTTTTCTTCAAGCGTGAGGGGGCCTCAATTTGTTTGCGCCTTGGGCCTCCTAACTACTAAATCCGCCACTGCGTGCAACCCAGTGGCTTTTTTTCTTGGCCTCCTTGTAATCACATGCACTCTATGCTCAGCATCGAGTATCTCCTCCCCCAAACTCACATGTGGCCTGTGTTGAGCCTCCCCCCCCCATTATTAATTACCTGGGTTCCCTCCGCTTAATGACTCATGCATCTTGGATTGTGATAACTGGGACTACAAGACATCACTAAATGATATTGTCACATGATGTCATGCTTCAAAGCCTCATCACTTAGCAATAGCAATCCCGTCCCAACTCCTACATTGCCATTTTGATTTCTAGCCAAATCCTTCAAAATGGCAATGTAGGAGTTTCTCTAGTTGAGAAATTGTTTTTAAGAGTCTCCAAACATTACAACTAATATAAAATCACCCATGACCATTTCATAATATCTCACCTCCTTTCAAAAAACCATGTGAAACACAATTCAGGTTTTGCAGTTATGAAGGAAAGAGTTACCTGTAGTAAGATGGGCGGCCAAGTAAGTTAAATAAAGTAAAATAAATAAAATCATAAAGTTCTTTTTCTCAATCCTTACCTGCTTTGATTTTGGGAATGTATGAGGATCTCTGGCTTTCATCTTCTTGATGTCCAGTGTCTCCAACTCTTGTTCATTTTTCCTTTTCCGCTTTTTTTTGGATAAGCCTGCTACATTTTACAGGAATAGTAAGCTTGTACAAGATCATCTCATCCTAAATAAGTAGCAGTCTAATCAATAAACAGGTTAAGTGGGGCAGGAAAGTAAGTGTTTCATTCGTGCTATAAATTCAGGTATGATATGGTTATTTAAAATATCTCTAATCAGTAGGAACCGATTCACCCAATGTCTGGACGCATACAATATGCTAAGCAAAATAATTCAGTGTGGTTTATAACTTGATGCTGTCTAAGCCAGCGGTTCTCAACCTGTGGGTCGCGACCCCATTTGGGGTCGCACGACCATTTCACGGGGGTCGCCAAACCACTCCGTCCGCCATTTTTTTTTTGCCCTTTTCCTTAGCTGTGCTACTCCCTGTGCTTGGCGGCAGCCTGAATGCACGAACTTTACCAAATGTGCCCTGCAGGAGGCGTGTGAAGAGCGCAGGCGCAG